AAATACTTATCCTTGGGGTAGACCTATTTATAGTTTCATGAAATTAAGACGTAGGCCTACAGTAGTAGTAATCATCACATGACTTTGCTCGTTTGCACAGACCAAAATGGGTGACTATTGCATTATTCCAAAACCTCAATTGCAATTGTTTTCATCCTGATAAATGTCTACCAGGACGTTAATCAATAACAAACTCATTAATCAAAACATTTGCTGTACTGTAACACTACAATTTCAACTATTTAGCATTAGTGCGTAATGTCGGCCCTCAGAAAATGCATTCATTCATTAATCTAATTTTTATATAATAACTTCCATTTAGTGTATACAACTATAGCAACTGCTATACAATGGTGTGGTAATCGTAGTAATTAGAGTTCAATTGATAAAACCGCGGAACATGTCACAACAAAGCTCACCCTGATAAAAGCATGTGCATTATTGAAATCAAGAAGTGAGAGTTGACGCTTAGACATAATCTTCGCTGATTAACTGACGTCATTTATATCATTTAGATTACCAGAGCACGTGTTAAATGACGAAATAACTACATTCCAATCGCGTAGTTATTCTGTGAACAATGTAGCAAGTAGAGGGTATTACCGACTTGTTTACGATGCTGTCCTAAGTGCTTTTGGACATTACCTTTTATGAAACAGCCTCAAAGAGGTATCCATGTGGATAAAGTATCGCGTATGACCTGCTAGACAACACACACTTAACAAAACCACCCGAGGTGCGACACTCAGGTATCTCTACTACATTACTGCAATTTCAACAGCTCTAATTTTAATAAGGGTAAGCACTCCATTGGGTTTTGGACCTATGTAGGCAATTTTTAACAAGAATTACACTGACATAGTGTTGGTGATACAACTTACAGTAGATATAAATCATTCCTTTTCTGAACAATTTTTAAAATTCATTATAAAAAGTCTTACTGAAGCATTGTTGTTAACATCTCAACCCTATTTTCAAGCAACAAAAACCCGACTTGCTTCAATATCTCTTTTCGTTCATTCTTTAACTTCCAAAGTCCAAAACATTCGGTTTTTCTATATAATTCTTTGCCAGCTGATTGCTTTCTAATTTCCTTTTCATATAACAATTTTTAAATTTTGTGTCAACTATTTTCTTTTCAATTACAGTACCTCAACCCTTACCTTGATGGTCCTTGGCCTTGTTTGGGTGACTGAATGTAAAAAAAAACACATCCCCCATTGGTGTTAGGAAAATATAAAACACAAAAATGTGGATAAAGAGCTCACAAAAAAAATCAATCATTAATAATTAAATGTGTTATTACTATACTTTATGTTATAAGTATTATGATACTATGAATATGTTGGAAATTGAACTTAATGAATTAAGTTTAAAAAAAAAAAATGAACTAGAAAGTGGCTACACTACTCTAAATACCTCTTAACTATCGTCACCGTAGAGATATCATAGCTCTGTTAATACGCATAGCCATCTTTCTATAGAAATTACCCAGGCACAGGCTGGCACAAACTACTTATGAATATTCAACAGAACATGCTCATTAATATTTATTTTATGTGCCTTGATATAAACAGTAGTGCCCTGTGCTAACAATCTATACACAAAAGACTTTAAGCTGCACAAAAGTCTTCCGAGATCTTACGCATGGGCCCTGAACATGGCTTAAAGTCAGGAAGTGGCCCCGGAACATGTACCACTTTTTAGGGAGCATAGGGTAATGCAGAATTTGAGTAGTAGTCTCTTACTACAGACACTTCTGATAACACAAACCACATAGAACCAGTAACCGGCAATACAAAATGATACTTAGCTATAGCACGTTACAGATTAGCGTTTGGATGTAGAAGGAAGTCGATATCGGAAGTTCATTTGCATAAATTAGGGACCGCCATAAAGTTAACATGCCAACAAACTAAAGACAGGAGGGTGACTAATCCAAAAGATTTAATGTGAGCCAACAATTTATTAACAAGATACAACTTCTGTCATTCTACAGAAAGAAAAACTGGTTTAGGACTTCTAAAAGGTCAGTTACATTCTTATTCACTGAAATTAACTAAACATGATTTTCATTTCTAGCAATCGAACACCTTTAATGTTCATCTACGATTATACAGACAAATTTTTACTAAGCTGTAACAACCACAAATCGAGAACAATTCGCCAGGGAACTTGTGACTAATCTATTAAAAGCGTTTGAGTTCAGGAATTTGATGTATTTTATTCAATTAGATGAAATAATTTAAAGTTAATTACGCAATATCATCAACAAATTGTTAAATTGAATGGCTGAGCAAATAGAATCTATCAATATACGTATAGAATTTCACCGGTATTTAAACGTGGTTCACGCTTCATGCCTTTCCTACTTGTAGATTGTTTTCACTTCTTTTGTTTACGCTTTCAAGGAACAATTCCCCATGAATGCTGTAGGAATAATACTTCCAATTCCAAGCACTACTGATTTCCTATAACTCCCACTTATTACAATCACCTAATTTTTCATATACTGTCACTAGAGACTTTCACTTTATGCTAATTCTTGAAACTAATTTCCTGAAGATCTCAAAATTTAAAAAAAAAATTCTCGCTAAATTAGTCACAAAGCAGAGAGTCTTTTGTTATGATTAATTCAAATCTGTATAGATTCTTCAAACTTGTTAAATTTTTCAGTGTTTAAAAACAGTGATATTTCATCTGGGATAAAATTATTTTTTAAAAGCGAGTGAATCATATGGAACCTGGTACAGAAATGATTTTTCCATAATCATGTGTCCCTATGGATAATGAAAAAAAAAAGGGATTTTGGGAGAAGATACGAAGTTGGAAGAAATGGCTCACTTGTGTGTGGAATGCTAATTACGGAGGAAAAGATACTCATTAGGAAGGGTAGACAGAATGTGTAATTTGAGAGGGATGGGATACATCCTGAGAGGAATGGATCATGTGGGAATGGGATGTTCATTTAAAGGGAAGGATTACTCAAATGGGAGGGAGGAATGATTGACCCAAAAAAGGAAGGGACTTAATCCAGCCACATTGACTTACCAGGGTGGGATGAATGACTTACCTGGGAGGAAGGAATGACCCACTTAGGTAGGGGAGGGAGGAATGACTTCCGGCCCTGGGAGCAATGATTCATACAGAAAATCTAGGTCAATTACACAGTTGATTTGTTTGAAAAAAAGAAGTCAAAATGAGCAAATGCTTACTAGGAAGGTAGCACTTGGATATTTGGGAGAATTTTCGCACTGGGGAGATAACTTTCCAGCCCCTGAATACACCACAGAATTAGGCTCAAAGTGACCGGTGGCTGAAATCACCCTGTAGGTTTAATGTCACTCCACTGACTGCTTGTCAATGCATTGACTACTGTTGAAATATTAGCAAAATACTCCCAGAAAGTGGAATAAAATTACAAATCAAACACTTATAAAGCACAAATATTACTAAACCGTGTTCGAAGATGTTTGATGTGAAGTGGACATATGTGCTACATAAATTCTAAAAAAAACAAAATACAGTATTGCCAAGGTAAATACAAGAGCCCATACAATGTTGGGCTGGAAAAAAAAAAGCATGACCGTGCCACCGACGGCATCACAAATGTCCTGGAGATATTTCTGACGAAAAAAAAAGTGTCTATATATAGCGTACAGATAACATCTGATGCCGGAGGCATTTTGTCGAGACAATTTTCAGTTGGAGGCACTACAATTTTTTTTCAGGTCTGCTCTAGTTAATATGTGATATAGACAGATATCAATTTGTAATAACTCTGCCGTTTCCCCCATCATTAATCATACATTCGTGCTATACCCTCCTTCCTCCGTGTCCTTCAGCTGATTCATCCATTCTCATCCATTCTTTCATTCTGTTCCCTATTTAGATTCAACCTGTTCTCTGTTACTTCCTGTATGCTTTTTCTACATCATAGTTTTCTGAAATCTCATTCACATAATAAAATTGTAGTAATATATTGCTATCAATACTGTTTAATTACTTATCAAAAACATATTTTTTAAAAACTTTTAATCTTTGATGTTTCTTTGATACCCTGCATGCACTAAAGCCATGACCTGGGATTTATGTTACATTCTTTTTTACTGTTTTCGAATAAATAAATTTTTGAATTAATTAGAGAGCAGCTTAGCTCAGTCGGCTAAACTGGTAATAGCCACTGTGTGTGTGCTGAACCGTGAAGATCTGTAGGTCCTCGGTTCAATTTCCATTGCCGCTTCTCTCATGCTTCAGCTGGAGGGCTGAAATGCAAGTTACAATAACGCACCATCTCTCGGATGTGACCTTTAGGCTGTTGGTCCCATGTGTATTATGGTCAGTACACTATTCGGTAAAGAGTAGGGGATTGTTCCCCGGTGTACTGCCCAATCACTACCAGAAGGACCCCACTGGAAATAAGTCTTCCTTCTAGACTTTTGTGGGTCATACTTGGTGTTTACCACGAATAAATCCATCCTTCCAATAAAGAATAATTCGAGACAAAATAATATTGTACAAAACATCTTTGTTAATAACATTCAAATTAATAAACAATAATAATATCTGTAAGTAATATTAATTAGACTTAAAAATGCACAACAGTTATTACACTAATTGTATCAAATGTTCATTGGACATCTACTTATATGAATGGTAGGTTTACTAGACTATGAATTTAGTAAATTACACATATGGATCACATAGATAAATGGATTTAATGTAAATAATTTTTAATTGGACAACTATATGGATTAAATAGATTATTGGATATATCTAGACATTATTGAACAAGCAAATGATACATATTACCTGTATTAACTGTAATATAATGAAGTAACATACTGTAAAAATTGAACATGGATTTTTATAACTAATATTGTACAGTATACAAATTCAATTAGTAATTAGATTTCATAGTTAAGAAAATTATTAAATCAGTGAAAAGCAAATCAATAAAATAAATGTTTTTAATAGCAATTTCTGTTTATATTTTTCAGATACAGTGATTCTTTCCTTGGACATCATTTTTCACCTACAATTCTTATGGCAGAAAATCCTGGTTTAAGGATGTCTCAAATACAGAAAATACTTTGAAAAAACTTTTTGCTTTTTCACAACACTATGGCGGTAGTAACTTTTAAAAAGCTAATATTAAATACGGTCACGGTGCTGCAGATATTTAAATGTTGCTATGGCGACGTAACACAGCGAAGGACTTGTCCCGAATCATGTGTGTGCACACCTACGGGCAGTATATACTGCGATACACATACACGAGACATTGCACCCACACTACCGTCTTATAATGATAAGCTCTACTTAGAGTCGCAGAATGACGTATTTAAGAATAACGCCCTGCGAACAATTTTTAAGGATGTTTTACAGCAAATGCCTACACAGAATATTATTGATCTATCAGACGAAGAACTGCATTGTGACTGTGAAATTATCTGGCTTCAAAAATGGCTGCTCAATTATCAAATGAACAAGCGATTTTTGAACATGGATTATAGGTGTTCTAGTCCGCCATCTTTAAAGGGTCAAAGGGTGGCAGATATTAGCAGTGTTGACTTAGGCTGCCCGGTCGATATACTGAAAAGACGACGTAGAAAAGTGAACCGAAGACGCGGACAACCAACTTATACTCAAAGACCGCTAAATTTTTGCACGGTGAACTATTGCGACAATAACGGCTCTTGCGTGCTACACAATGATTATACATTGTGCATGTGTCCATTGAGTTTTACAGGAGACATGTGTCAAATTCGGTCAGAGCCGCAACTAGAGGTACATGCTAAACAATTGCTGGACATGACGGTCCAGGTTAATTGGACGCTTGACCGTGAGGCACTGGACATTCAGTTCAACCTACAGCTTACAACTATAGACGGTGTACGCTTAATTACATCACAAATGCTTCCCGGACATATGCGACATGTTTCTGTTGATGGTCCATTTCTCGCGACCCACATCAACGTCTGTATATGTATTTATGAGCATAACATCAAGACCAACTTTACAGCCTGTATGGACATTTACATAGATGAACGTGGATATGGTTTGCCCCCTCCCAGCGATTTGCCCGATGACAAAATTTATAATCCGTACGATGCTTCACATTTTAATGAGGTTATCGATAAAGCAAGTATAGCGCTCGGGAGCATAATAGGGCTCTGTGGACTCCTTATACTCGGGCTTGCGATTGCTTATAAAAACCGACAAATTGATTCTGATAATAATGCTAACATGCCCGTAGACATGAATGGACTTAGTTCTGCGTACATAAGCAACACAATCATACAACTTCAAACGATACGTGAGAGTTACGAAGAGGAAAGCCAAGAGGCAACACTAGCTGATGCAAGCCAAGTTCCGATTGTTGAAACAACTGGAGAATCATTAAACATGAACAATAACGCAGTTTCTTCCACGCCCGTTTGCAGAGAAATTTCACGTCAAAGAGCCAACGAGTCTCACAAATCCAATGAAACTAATCCTACAGAAAACCAAACAGTTGGCCTGGAGCCAACTTTAAGACAATCTCAAGCAAGTGAGAGCGGGAAAGTTAATATAATTTAAGGAGAAATTGTGGATATTTAGGTTGAAAATATACAGTTTTTTTTAGTGTGAACTGCGCTAATGGTTTTTGATTGCAATGTGCATCAGTGGAGTTGCTTATCTAAGTATTCAGTGTTTTATCTGGTAAAAAACTGATTATTTGCAACAAAATGACGTAATTGTTTATGTGTTACACTGACTACTTGTGGTCATCGACTGGTCGATGACGTTCTTAACTCTGGGAGCATTATTACCTGTCAGATGAGCTGATCAGTGTTAATATCTAACGATAGGTTATCCCCTTGGTCTGACATCAAGTTGCGAATAGCAACCGTCAGAACGTCATACACGGATTGGACTTGTCTACAACAAAGCAGAATTCCGTAATAAATAGCAATCCAACTTCTGTCCCATTTCTGTGGATTAATGCTGCCAATATACTAAATGTACACAAATTCTCAGTTTAATGAAAACTGTGGCTGACCTTTGAAAGTAATCTAACAATAAGTGACAAGTTTATGACAAACGAGGGCCATAAAAAGACAACAGCATGTTCCCAGTATGTGTACACAATCGTTACGTGTATCAAACAGTATCACCGCGTAACACACATTTTCTTGTACAGGTTAAGCAGTTATATTTCATCTTGAAGCATGTGTAATACAAAGGCAATGTAAATTACATTTTATGATAAAAAAAAAAAATTATATTAAAAAAAAATATATAGAGCTTTCAATATAATTAAAGTCAAGCTGAAGATATTACTTTGTAATTTGTTGGAAAATGTAAAATAATTATATTTATAAATATAGAAAGTATATTTC